TTTTGAATGCAACAGGAAAATCTATGTAAATGAATACACACAATTATCGAGAAGGCTATGCAAACCTGTCCCCCTCGATGTGGCCGGACCCCACTGAATTGTGTAACGCGGGTGACCCGAGCCCTGACTTTGTTCTAGACCTTGGGAAAACGGCCAATGCTCTGAAGATCCTTGGATTTCTGCTCACAGTGGAAAACACTGTCTGGGCTGGAGACCCCGGGACTCCCCTTTGCACGGGACCTTTCCTCGATTCGGACGATGCTGGAAGGGAAAAGCCCAGTGTCAGCGGCAAGGTCTGAAGCCAGGACTTGGTTTCTGATTGTATATAAATGTGGCTAAAACTTTCTGTCTGCCTCCTGCCCCGGTGCCGTGTTCCAGTGACTCCCGGGGCAGCCAGCGCACATGGTTTTCCGGAGCCCCTCCACGTGGTTGTGCAAGACCCCGGCCCGTCTCTCCTGATGCAGGCGTGCTTCTGGGAGGAGGTCCCGTCTGAAAATCCACGGGTCCTCTGGTCTCAGATGGACTTCCTGAAAGTAGAACATGAGACAGGGCCTTGGGTGCGACAGTGTATTTAAGGATATCTCAACTGATTTCTGCATGTGGATTTTTTTTTTTATCCTGCAACCTTTATGTGTGTGTGTGTGTGTGTGTGTGTGTGTGTGTGAAGTCCTTGGGGCTTTCTTCATAGGAGATCATGTCATATGCACAGGGAGACAATTTACTTCTTTTCTTCCAATTTGGATGACTTTATCTTTTTGTGTTTTGCCCAATCGCTCTGACTTTGACTCCCAGTGCTACGTTGAGTAGAAGCAGCAACAGCGATCGTCCCCATCTTGTTCCTGATCTTAACGGAAAAGCCCTCAGCTGTCCACCACTGAGTGTGATGTGAGCTGGACGCTTGTCCTGTGTGGTCTCTGTCGTGTTGAGCTGTGTTTCTTTCTATTTCGAGCCTGTTGAGAGTGTTTTCTGATGAAGACACTTGAATTTTGTCAAATGCTCTTTCCAAATCTATTGAGATGATCCTACGACTTTTTACCCTCTGTTCTGTTAATGTGGCGTCACACTCCTTGATGTGTGTTTGCTGAACCACCTCGCCTCCCAGGGATAAACCCCACCTGGTCGTGGTGTCGCGTTCAGTCTGCTAATCCACGTCCATCAGGGATATCACCCGGTGAAGGTAATTTTCCTGTGTCTTTCTCTGGTTTTGGTGTCAAGGTAACGCTGGCCTCATAAAGTGAGTTTGGGAGGGTTCTGATCTCTTCAATTTTTTGGAAAGGTTTGAGAAGGATGGTTGTGCAGATTTTCCTTTAAGTTTTGGTAGAATTCGCCAGGGAAGCCATCTGGTCCTGGAATATTCTTCCTTGGGAGGGATTCTGATTGATCACTCTCCTTAGTCATGATTGGTCCGTCCATATTTTCTCTTTGCTCATGATTCAGTTTCAGTGGGTTGTGTGTTTCTAGGAATTTATTCATTTTTTTGGGGTTGTCCAACTTGTTGGCATAAAATTGCCCACAGCCTCTTAAGATCCTTTGTTTTCTGTGGAATCAGTTGTAACGTCTTCTCTTTCTGATTTGAGTCTCTTTTTCTTAGATTTTTCTTAGTCTATCTAAAGTCGTGCCAATCTTTTTATATTTCAGAAAATCAGCTCAGTTTTGTTGATTTTTTTTCTATTGTTTTGAATTCTCTACTTCATTTATTTCTGCTCTAATCATTACTATTTCCTTCCTTCCGCTAACTCCAAGCCTTCCCTCCGCTAACTTCGAGATTTCCGCTAACTTTGAGTTTAATTTGTTCTTCTTCTAGTTCCTGGAGGTGTAACATCAGGTCGTTTGTTTGCGATCTTTCTTCCTTCCTGATGTAGGCGTCTTATCACTATAAACCTCCCTCTTGGCTGCATCACTATAAACTGCCTTGGCTGCATCCTGCAAATTTTATGGTGTGTTTTTTTGTTTGTTTGTTTTTGTTTTTTTTTTTTTAATTTTTTTTTCAACGTTTATTTATTTTTGGGACAGAGAGAGACAGAGCATGAACGGGGGAGGGGCAGAGAGAGGGAGACACAGAATCGGAAACAGGCTCCAGGCTCTGAGCCATCATCCCAGAGCCTGACGCGGGGCTTGAACTCACGGACCGCGAGATCGTGACCTGGCTGAAGTCGGACGCTCAACCGACTGCGCCACCCAGGCGCCCCTATGGTGTGTTTTTATTTCATTTGTCTCAGGATATTTTCTAAAATCCCTTTTGGTTTCTCTTTTGACCTGTTGGTTGTGCAAGAGGGGGTTAATTTCCACGTATTTGTGAATTTTCTCCCACTCTTTCTGCTATTTTACTTGTGGTTCCTTTTGGTTGTGATGGGAAAAGATACTCGATACGATCTGAATTCTCCTTAAATGTGCTAAGACTAGTTCTGTCACCTACGATGGGATCTGTCTTGAGGAACAGCCCATGTGCTTCAAACAAGGCACACACAGTCCCCTCTCGTTGCTGTGTTATTCACAAGAGCCAAGAGGTGTGAAAACATCTCAACGTCCATTGATGGTGGATGGAGAGAGCGCGGTGTATGTAAACAACATGACATTGTTCAGCTTTAAGGAGGAAAAACTCCATTTGCAACGACAGGGATGAACCTGAAGGACATTGTGCTGAGCGAACAAGCCAGACACAGAAGGATGAAAAATGTGTAATCCCTGTTACGTGAGGTAGGTAAAATAGAGTTAGAAACGAGAGCAGAATGGTGGTTTCCGAGGGCTGTGGCGGGGGGGATGGGGAGCTGTCCTTCAACGGGTGCAAAGTTTGGTAAGTTCTAGAGATGTGCCGTACCGCTTAGAGCCCATAGTTAACGATCCCGAACTGCACTCCTACAGCTTTGTGACACGGGTAGATCTCATGTCAACCGTTCTTACCAGAGTAAAAGAATAAATGAATGAAGGCATTCTCACTCATAAAACCGTACAGATGCTCTCAGGAGGTGGGAGACAGGGAGGGTGGAGGGTGACTTACCAGCTGGTTACTGACCGGGCACCTGGGGTTCGGCCCAGAAAAGTGCCGCCCTCCGTTCGCTTTTAAACGACAGATTTCTGCCATACAAGCGGAAACTTTTGCACTCTGACAACCTGAGAGATTGGCTTTACCAGAGTGAGGAGCCGGGGTACTAACCCGCTCACTCCCACCCACCACCGGAGGCAGGCTGACCCCAGGCGAGATCCACACCCTGACCTCCCTCCCTGCGCGCACACACACACATGTGCTTTGGGTTCAGCCTGTGCAGGGGTGGAGGATGCCCTGGAGGCAGAAGGAGGGACCTCCGGGGCTTGATGCAGGCAGCCACCTGGGTGCTCAGTGCCTGCTAGAGATGTGACCCAGCGGGAGCCACAACCTCAGAGCAGAACCCGCCCTGGGGCCACCAGGGGGCCCTGGCCTGGGCTGGAGAGGTGCCTCAGCTACTCCTCCAGGCCCTGGGGCTGCGTTTAGCAAATCGCACATCCCAAACCATGTGCAAGATGAGCTTGTGGAGCAGGGCCAGACCGGGAAGCTTCCTGCTGGGGGGTGAGGGTGGCAAGTCCCCTCCACCAAGAAGACTTGGAAGGTTTGTTCTTTTGTTCCGTCCTCACGGGGAGAGGGCTCTCCGTGTACATCTGGACCATCCAGGAGCAAGCCTCGCAGAGGCCACCCCTGCAATGCAGCGTCACTCGGCGGAGGCCCGGGGCCGGCGTCATCGTGCCTGGCCTCAGTTCCCCTCCCTTTCCCCGCCGACTCCCCCTGCGGAGCTCCGTGTACGCATGCGCGGCGCCAGGCACCATCCCTTCGCGTGACCGCGGTGAACCTAACGCACGCGCAGCCGACCGCGTCTGCCAGGAGCCCTCCCGCGGCAGCCCAGGCCACGCAGCCCGAGGAAGGACGTCCCCGGAGATGCATTATTGCACTCTTCTGGTTTTGTTCTGTCTTTCCCTTCCCCCTGCCTCCTTCTGGCGTTGGAGAAAACATGAGTTGAGATGCCCGATTCCTGTCTTGCTTTCCCCTGCAAACTGGGAGTGTGAGCAGAATAACGCATTCCGTGTGTGAAGGGAGGGCGTGGAAGGGCCTTGCACGCTGAGCCGGGGCCTCCTGGGGACGCCCCTGCCTTCCAGCTGCGTGAGAGGCAAACCTGTCAGGACACGGTTGGGATTTCCAGCCCCAAGCTCTGTGTTTAGCGCTGAAATCAACTAGATGTTGGGCCAAGCCAGCTGCCGGGGGGTCGGCTGGTTCCCCGGGGGCACCTGCGGGAACACACCTCCTCTCACCCCTGCAAAACCGGGGGCTGCCCAGAACAGCTCGTCAGTATCAAAGGCACCATGGAAGTGAGAAGGGGTTTCCATCCTGTGTCTTAGCCGTGACTAGCTACGCGAGCAGGCTGCAGAGACAGTCGTGCGGGTCTGAGTCTGCTCTTGCCTCCTAAGCCCGGCAAGGTAACAGTTATCTGTGTACAAACTGTCCCACAGCCTGGTGTCCAAAACATCCACTTCCAATTGTATCTCACAGTTTTGTGGCTCAGGAATTCGGACAGGACTCAGCCGGGTGATTCTTCTGTTCCACAGATGCCAGTGAAGGCGACTCAGTGGTCTGGAGGGTCCTGGAGACCTTCACTCTCAAGGTAGACGTGCACGATGACAGCGGAAGGCACCCTGTGCCCGGCCACTCCCGCGTGGTGGCCTCGGCGTGGTGAGACTGTGCACCTGGCCACTCAGGGGTCCGGTGAGTATGCTGCGAGAGGAGGCACCCCCTGGGGGCTGCACAGCCTCCTGTGACCTGGTATGTCTCCCCAAACGTCATTTCTGTCACATTTGGCCAAGCGAGTCGCTGAGGCCAGCCTGGAGCCTCACCCCCCTCACTCCGGGAGGACAAGGCGCCTCAGCGCCCTGCGGGAAGAGGCACAAAGGATCTTCAGCCATCCTTCCTCTGCCGCAGGCCCGGCTGCTACCTCTTGCCCAAGTCGCGATTCTTCCTGAGCCGATGGCGATAGTAATGGGCCCCACTTTTGAACACGGGCCTGAGAATAAAGTGGGATCACGCCCCAAAGCTGCGTCTCCGTCCCTTGAACAGGTCAGTGGGGAAGGTGGCTGTTTCTCCCTTGGTCCAACCTGGAGAGGCGCTTCCGGAGCACGTGGGCCAGAGCCACCCGGCGACGCCAGCCCGCCCTCTTCCAGCTGCCGTATCTCTCTGGCACCTTCCACCACATTCCTCTCAACGCTGACTCTCGAGTGCCATAAAGCGGCTCCTGCACGGGGAAGGCTGTGGCGCTCAGCACAGATCATTATCTCTTAAGAGCAATGAGTATTTGAGAATGTGCCTTTCCCAGCAATAATTTATAAATGAGGGAGAACAATCATAATAGTCATTGAAATCCCAAAAAGCAGGAGACTATTTATAAATGCAGAGTGCTTCATCCTTGCCAATTCCAGAATCCTGAGTACCTAAGTAGGAGAGAGTGAGGGCAACTTGGTTAATTGGCATCTAACAATCCTGTTGTGAAAGGTGTTCCCCAGGACTCAGAAGAGGCCAGGAAGGCGGCCAGCTCGGCTCCAGGACAGCGAGGGGGGGGGGGGCTGTCGGCACAGAGGCGGCAGTGGTGGGGGGAGACGCCCTGAGCAGTGCCTCGCAGCCAGAGGCTGGGGCACTAACCCAACCCACCTGACGGGGCCTGGGTCGGAGGCTCCGAGATTGGGATCCCGGGCCACTTGGTAGTGAGCGAGAATGAAATCCTGCCATTTGCAGCAACGTGGATGGAACTGGAGGGTATTATGCTGAGTGAAATAAGCCAGGCAGAGAAAGACAGATATCGTATGTTCTCACTCCTATGTGGAACTTGAGAAACTTGACAGAAGACCATGGGGGAAGGGAAGGGGAAAAAGTAGTTTCAAACAGAGAGGGAGGGAGGCGAACCGTAAGAGACTCTTAAATACAGAGAATAAACGGAGGGTGATGGGGGGGGGACGGGGGAGAGGGGGAATGGGGGATGGGCACTGAGGAGGGCACCTGCTGGGATGAGCACTGGGTGTTGTACGTAAGTCATGAATCACAGGAATCTACTCCCGAAACCTAGAGCACACTGTATACGCTGTATTTAGCCAACCTGACAATAAATTCTATTAAGAAGAAGAAGAACCATGGAAGTCAGGAGAGAGGCCATCAACTTACCTGAAATTCATTTAGGGCAAGAGCCTGTAGTCTTTACTGTTTAAAAACACAGGCACAGGGGGCGCCTGGGGGGCTCAGTCGGTTAAGCGTCTGACTCCGGCTCAGGTCATGATCTCACAGTTCGTGAGTTTGAGCCCTGTGTCGGGCTCTGTGCTGATAGCTCAGAGTCTGGAGCCTGCTTCGGATTCTGTGCCTCCCTCTCTCTCTCTGCCCCTCCCCCAAGTGCTCGCGCGCTCTCTCTCTCTCTCTCTCAAAAATAAACATTGAAAAAATTAAAAATAATTAAAACTAAATAAACATAAATAAAACAGGCATATTGGAAGCAAACAGGAAGTCCTTAAATAGGTGGATGGACAAATACACCGTGGTCCATCCAGACGATGGAACGTCATTCGGTGCTAAACAGACATGGGAATCTTCAGTGTGTGCTGCTGAGAGAAGCCGGTCTGAACAGACTTCACACTACACGGTTCCAAGTATGATGTTCTGGAAAAGGCAAAACTATGGAGACTCAAAGACCGGTGGTTGCCAGGGGCTTGGGGAGCCGAGGACAGGCAGGCAGGGCATGGGGGGGATTTGAGGGCAGCGCGAGTGCTCGTACGATGTGTGACGGTGGATGCATTTGGCACGACAAGCCCCAGTTGGCTCTGTCCTGGAACAACAGCCCCCAGAACCCCGAATACAGGGGCTCTGGGAGGAGGATGGCACCTGTGTCCTAACCCCAGGGAAGCGTTTGCGTTTTCTCACCTGTAAATGGAGGCCGATGCTGCCAGTCCCACTTCCGGAGCAGGGAGGCGGCCAGGACGAGCTGGAACGGCAGGTGTACAGGGGTGAGATGAGACACTGCTGCTGTGCGCGCCTCACGGAGCCCCCCGGCCTTGGCCCGGCCCTGGTGTGAGACCTAACCTCCCCGTGGGACGGTGAGACCCACGGGGACAGGGGCGGGTCTCCTGGGACGCAGCACAGTACCTGTTCAACCCGAATCAGTCAGGGAGTCCGTGCGCTCGAGCCCAAGCTCGTTAAGCGAGGACCCCGGCTTCTGGAGCGAACAGGCCTTCCTCACCCGTCTCATGGGGTGGCCACCTGCGGTCCAGGAGCACTGCCCACACGGTCTCCCGGAAACAGCTGTGATCAGGATTAGACCTCCCGCTGTCTCTCTTCTTCCTCCTCAGTTTGGGAACACTCCGGAAGGAGCTGCTTTCTGTGCTGTAGCTATGGAGCTAAAATGTCCCCCAGAGAGGGGCCCCTGGGGGCTCAGTCGGTTAAGCATCCGACTTCCGCTCAGGTCATGATCCCGAGGTTTGTGGGTTCGAGCCCCGTGTTGGGCTCTGTGCTGACAGCTCGGAGCCTGGAGCCTGCTTCGGATTCTGTGTCTCCTTCTCTCTCTGCCCCTCTCCTACTCATGCTCTCTCTCTAAAATAAACACTAAAAAAAAAATTTTTTTTTAATTAAAATGCTCCCCAGAGAGGCCCCAGGACCTGTGGACAGACCTGTGCTTACCTCCCTGTTCTGTTCTGGGTGAGCTTCATATTGTGAAGCAAGCCACGTCCCTCCCGGAGCCCCAGTGAAACGGGGCTGCAGCAAGCGGATGGGGTGTTGCCTGAGACCCTGCTCGGGAGACAAGGGTGCTGCCCGGGGGTCCACGCGGTGCCCCCAGCAAGCAGCTCAAAGCTGCTCTACAGCACCCAGCCTTGGCTGGAGACGTTCCGTGGGGGCCCCGGGGCGATCCTTTCTGCAGCCTTGGGGGCAGAGGGCTCTGCACCCACTGGGTTATTTCGCGCCCTCCTGCCTCCTTCTTGATGCCCCAGCACCTGCTTCTACTTGTTCACCAGGACTCACCTCTTCTGCAGCTGGAGACCCAGGTCTAGGCCATTTGCTATGTGTGTGTGGGGGGGGGGCGGGGGGATTCCTTCCTGTTCGTAGGAATCACCAATTCCACAAGTGTTAGCTTGAGAACTGGATGGCCTGTCGAGCAGACTGGACGACCACGTCTCCTCCCCGCTTCCTTTCCACAAGGCTCCCCTTTCCACACACAGCTCCCAGCAGCCCCGAGGGCCCTGCCAGGGGACCCGGGAACCCCACTCTCATGGTCCACCGGGACACGAGATATCACCGCCACTGTGGCCACCCGCCACGGTTTCGCCCGTCAAACAAGGAATTTATTCGCTCAACCCAAGGCAGCCCGCTTACTGGGGAAGTATCAAACATTAAGCCACAACAGGACATTCAAGATGGAAGGCTTTGGAGGCGACTTAATGCCTTAGCCACTGGTGTGCTTTCTGAGTCACCCTGGAAACCCTGAGAACAGATTGATCAGGCACTGACTGATATTCGCTGCACCTGAATCTACGGGGCTGGGCTGGGCTGGGGTCCAAGCATCCTTACCCCAAAGAAGTGAATCTGTAACGGGTAAGGGTCATGTTTTTAGGGAGGAGGCTTCCCCCATCTGCCTCTGAGGCTTGTTCCGGGTAAAGCTTCATTCAACCACAGACCCGGAAAGGGGAAGGAGACAGAGGCACTGCTCGGAAGGCAACACGAGGGCTTGCTTCTTGAAGGACGCGCGTCTCTGGCCCCCACACTCAGCACAGCGCCACGCTCAGGCTTTCGCTGCCCATTCCACAGCTGTACCTGAGCAGAGTGGACGGGGCTGGGATCTCCTGCCACTGCCCAAGGAGTCCAGCCACCTCCCAGCAGCCCCGGGGCCTGCGTCCTGTGCCCTGGGGGAGTTGATGGGCACTAATCCCCCAAAGCTGGATAACAAAACCCGGGTGACTATAACCTGAAAGGATCCAGCCAGCCACTCAGCAGGTGGCAGCCGTGGCCCCGGGGACGCCAGGCGTGGGGGCGGTGGGGCGCTGAAGCCACGGGGTGTCATCCCAGCGCAGTGTCACAGCCTGGGCGCCGATTTGACACCTGAAGCCTGCGTTCACCTGCTTTCCGTGTTCCTGGTCTCTGTTGTGTTTTATCGCCGCTCTTGGTCTGCTCAGATTTCCAACGTCCCCCTGCCCGCTCCCCCTCCCTTAAATCCTGTATCATCTCTTTCCTTCTCCTCAGACATTTGTTTTCATCGTCCTGCTTCCACCCCCCCCCCCCCCCAGCCCCTGCCTTCTGGAACCTCCTGTCATCACCTTGTTCTGCTCAAGCTGCCTCCTCTGGCCCCAGTTCTTGTGATTCTGTCCTGGAGTTTTCCAGAAGAGACAAGAAGAGCCTCTTCCAGGTGTAGGCAAGGGTTCAGGTGGGTGCAGCATCGAGGGGCCCTCTTCACTCTTCCAAGCTTAAGTTTCAGGAGACCCGCCTTATCCCCACCTTTCTTGTTCGTCTGCTCAGTGCCAGGCGGGGCCCGCACTGTCCCTGGCACTGGGAGACAGCAGGGGCACAGTGGGCTGCCCCTGTCCCACTGCACACACACCTCAGACAAGCCGAGAATCAGAGTGACAGGAGCGAGGTGTCCTGGCTGAGTGGGAGGTGCGTGAGCAGGCCTGTGGGGGGCAGGGGTCTGCACGGCCTCTCCCCTGAGCGGAAGTCAGCCATGCAGAGGCGCGGGGGTAGAATGTTCCAAACAGAAAGCACAGAGACCTGGATGCAAGAAGCAGCTCTGAGGAGTGGAGTCGGGCCGGGGACCAGACGGCATAGGTCCTGGTGAGCCACAGACACGTCATCGAGGGTCCAACCCGAGGGCCTGAAGCGGGGGCGTGATGTGACATTCTCGGATTCATGTTTCCAGCGGGGGCCCTGCAGGGCCTGGTTTGCAGGGAGAGCAGAGGGGAGGAGGTGGCTGTAGGGGTGAGAGGTGACAGGCCTCAGTCCCCGGGTAGAGGGGAGAAGACACACGTGCAATACGATTTGGGAGAAGGACCACCAGACAAGGAAGAAAGTAAAAGGATAAAAAACGCACTCACTTCCCTGATCCCACCCGGGGATGCAGGGCACCCAAGAGACGGACGTCCCAGCTTAGGAGGTGCCAGGGAGCAGGGGCGCAGGGCACCCACGTTCCCGGGCATCCCGGGGACGCACAGACGGGTGCGCAGCGGCTCTGTCGCTGACATTCACCAGCCTGCCCGCGTCAGCCGAGGTCACCTGACCTCCCTTCCTCCTTTGTCAGCTGCTTCTAAAACCCAGCCGACAAGTCGACACCATGCAAGGTCGTGAGTGAGCACTCTGTTACTGGTGACATGTGTCCCTGCTCCCAGCACCGGAGCTCCCCCTCTTCCTATAGCAGACAGGAAACAAACGAGCACAGAAAAGAACTGCTGGGGTCCCGAGGCAGCCCTTCCCCTCCCGTGGCCGGGACGCACCTCTTCCTCCAGCAGGTCCCAGGCCGCGGACAGCTGCGCCCTTACACTGTGCTGTCCTGATCCCTTTCCCTTCCCAGCTGCTCTCCTACTTTACCGAAGTCTCCTAAGTGGCAAAGCCCCTGTCCCCAACCCCAGCCCCAGAGGAGCAGTGGCCCTGAGAGCCGTACCCAACGGGGCTGCGTCTTCCTCCAAATACAGGAGGCGGGACCCGTGCTTCGGGGCACTGGCTCAGGCAAGGGTGTGGGTCCAGACTCAGGCAGCCCCGGGTTCCGGGTCAGGCTCCTCAGTGTTCTGCCCTGGGTCCGGGAGGAGTGCGGGGTGCAGCCCAGACGGTCATGGGATCTGCCCTGGCAGCCACCACTGTTGCCGTGGCCCTGCCCGTCCGCCCACTGGACACCGGGCTCCGTGGAGGGGGGTGAATACTACACCGCTGCCCGCAAGGCTCTCCGAGTGTCCCAGGGAAGGCGTGCAGAGAACAGTGCCAGGGCGGTGTGACAGTGAGAAGACGGACGTGTGCAGGAAGTCCCAGAGCAGCCAAAGCCAGGTGCTGACCCCAAAGAGAGGGAGATGTGAGTGACAGAGCAGCGCCACCTCCCCCAAGGCTGACGGTGGGTGTCCTGGCAGAGGGCAGGAGGGCAGACACACAGGAGCCGGGAGGGATGCGCCAGCCGGGTGGGGTCGGAGGTCAGGCTCCTGGGTGGGGCGGGGGGGGGGGGGGGGTGGGCCGGCCTGACCTGGGGAAGGCTGGAAAAGGAAGGAGGTGGGTGGGGGCTGGGCAGGGGCAGTTGTAGCTTTCCTCCTAGGCTTCTGCAGCAGAGTCTGGAGGTGGCCCCCAGGTTCTCAGTCACGCTGCCCAGTGCAGCCTCACAGCCTGGCCACACGCCAGCTCGGGCCTGCCTTCCGTCTGCGGGAACCGCTGCCTCTTTTAGACGTGAGATGATGATTCAAAACCTTTGGGGCAAGGTCTGGTACACAGTAAATATCAGAAAATGTTAAAAGGGAGCCATGATGATGTTGGTGACAACAGGGACAGGCAATGGGCTTCGTGGCTGAGCGTCACTGGAACTGAAGCACAGAGCTTTGTGTCCCAGCCCGTCTCTCGTCTGCTTTTTCCCTCAGGATTGTTCCCTGCTCCACGCAGGAAGGGCTTCTCGGGCTGGGTGTCGGGATTGTTTCATTCACTTCTACTGTGCCTTGAATACCTTCAGCTGCCCACAAGGATTCCGTTCTATTCTAGGAACACACCTTTTACTAGCATCTCCCTGCTTTCTTTACAAAACAGCTTTTATCTAACACTGACGTGCCTCAAAAATAATGGTAACTGGGGAAAAGCAAATCAGCAGCAGACAAAAACGCAGGGAAACGCGGCCCTGACACAAGCATCTGATTTGCTTCTAAAGACGAGCCCCTTCCCAGACCCACCTCAGCAAGGGTGCTCAGCAAACATCTGTGGACCAATTACAGTCAACAGTTTACAGGTGTCGAGAGGAAACAGTCACTCACATGCTACCCCCCCAAATGAGTTTTCCTAATCTCTCTTGGAAACAAAAGCCCACTTTTCTCTAGGGTTCTTTATCTGGCAGGTAGAGAGCACAGCTTCTCCTGCAGGTGGGCTGGAGCCCCCAGAGGAACGATGGAGGTCAGGCGGAGCAGGGCTGGTGGCAGTCCTCCCTCGGGGCCCCTGGGACAGGGTTTGGCCCACTTCCTCCTGCTGATTCCCAGGCTCTGCCCCCCAGCTGTCTGGCTTCAGTAGATCCAAGGCAGGGCCCAGGAAGCAGCATTTTTATGAGGCTCCCAGGACAAGCTTATTTACCTGCGGGATCGGCCGGTGGTTCTCAAATGCTAGGGTACATGAACATTGACCCAAGAGGCTGGCAAGGGGCCGGGTCCCAGGCCCCGATCCCCAAAGCCCCAGCTGGGAGGTGGGGCCCAGGAGCTGAGCTTCTCATGAGCCTCTCTCGGATTCTGAAGCAGATGATCTGAGGGCCGAGGCAGAGAGGAAGGGGAGGTGGTTACCACGCAGATCCCTAGGTGGTGGATCTGGAGCGTGGCCCAAGGTTCTGCATTTCAAACGAGCTCCCAAGGGCTGTTGGTGCTGCTGGTCTGGGGTCACACTTCAAGCGACCTGGCTGGAGACCATCCTTTAGACTCACTCCACTGCCGTGTATCTTAGATCACAGTTTTCCTTCCTCTCTTAATGTATCCTCACTGCTTCGTTCACGGCAAGCCTGATAAACCAATGCTCTCTACTGGACTCACACCAGCTACTGCAGGGCCTCTGAAGCCGTCTTCCTGAAAATGTGAGTTCCCATAAGACATCAGACGCCGTGTGGAAGGGCTGCCTCCATCAAACGAGTTGGGGAAGCGCTGTGGGGGTTGCGGAGCCTGGGCTAGCCGGAAGCATCTCTCTAAGTCCCCTCGCCCTGCCGTGGGATGGGGGTGTGAACAGAGCCCAGTTACGGAGTGAGGACAACGCCAGGAGTTAATTGCCACGAAGCTCGCCCGTCCGTCTGTGCCTGACTCCAGGCGGGTATTCTCAGGATGCGCGTACCCCGTCTGCAAGTGGAGGCAGCTCTGGTGGCTCATGACTCCCAGGCGCTCAGTGGCCGGCGTGTCCTCCAGTGTTTGGGCCTCGGGACCCCCACCCAACACCCCCGTTCTTGCAGTTCAAGTGGCCTGTTTGCAATCCAGTGGGTTACAGAGCCTGGAGAGCAAATGCTCTGCTCTGGAACTCGTCCCCTGAGGAGCACTTGTTATCAAGCTCTGGTCTTCCGGGGACAAAGGCAGGGCCCGGGATGCACATTTCAGGACGGCCTGTGTGGGCTCTCTAGGCAGTGACGGGGTACATTAAGGGGGGGGGGAGGGGCAGGGGTCTTTCAGAGGGGTGAGCACAAAGGCCGGGGAATGCAAAACCCCCCCCCCCCGCCCGTGTGGATTTCCGGTAGATTTATCCCTGAAACCTCACTGGTGACGCAGGACCTCTGTGCAAGTGTGACCCTGATAAGCCAGGCACGTTCGGGGATGTTAGTTCCCCATCAGGTTAGGAATGT